TGCATGTTTTTAGCTTTTTTAATGTAACTGTAGAAGCTGCTGTACTCAGGGAATGTTTATACTCAATGAGTTAAGTCGTACACTTTTTTCAGTCTTTGATAAAGCTTCTTAGATAATGGAGGTCGCTTGGCTAGGATTCGGGTTAGAAGGCAAAATAGGTGGTAATGAAGGTTTTAGGATGTGGAGGAAACTCAGAAGCATAAATGGTATACAGGATTGGACCTAGAATGAACCCTTGTAGAAGGCCGGCTAGTAATTGGTCTAATTCGAGTATTCATTGCCGCACCTTATTATGAAGAAGAAGTTAGTTAAAATGATAATAGAGTTTGGCAGGATGCTTTTATAGAAGATACCTGACTGCCAGACCCTATCAAAAGACTGGGCCAGATTCAGGAACGAACCCAGGCAATAATATTGCTTTTCTAGGGCGGATGAAACGGTGTGAAAAACTGTGAAACTTTGCTAGATAATGAATGTTAAAGAGAACTTAGTACCAGTAAGCTAATTAGATTGTCTGATAACTCTGCATGGATGGTGATCCAAGAAGGGGTAAGGAAGGATTTCCCGTAAAGGTTTGAGATAGGGGGACTCGCTGTTCGCAATTCTACTTAATTCTATGTTCTTTTTGGATAAAAGTAAAGATTGCCATATTTAGAGAGGGGTGGTGTTGTATCGGTTGGAGACCTGAACCTAGAATGTTTTAGAAAAGAAGATTGAAAAGTTGTGGATTACAGGAGGTACGAAATGATAATGTGGTGCTAAAGAATCTATACCACGAAATGGTTTTCTGGGTGTAGGACTGTAATTGCTAGGCCATTTACATAGGATGGTTATGAATTGAGCGATGTGTAGGACTTATAAAAAACGTCTGGTTGGTAAAAGACCACGGGAAAGACATTGTTTAAGGTGGCTCCAGAATGTGGAGGACCTAGTGGCACAGGGTTCTACATGAAATGGAGAACCGAAGAGTAAGCATAAGTAAGCAAGAAGCCGAATTGGCGGAAAGGAATGATTTTATGTGTGGTATTGCTTTAAGACCGCTTTAAGAGTCTTTTGAGGACATCGCACAAAGAAAGTTGATGGGTCTGTTGCACGATTTGTGAGAATGCCAATATTTTCATAGTAAAAGTAAAATGTGTGGTATTTGGCTTTGTAGGTCGAAAGAACAATAGCCTTTTGAGGAAGGTTTTGATGTATAGTGGAGGTAATAGGTTATGTCTTGAGTGTTTTGATCTTAGGAAATAATTTTGTGGAGGTCTTAGTGGCACTGGGTTCAACATGAAATGGAGAACCGAAGAGTAAGCACAAGTAAGCAAGAAGCCAAATTGGCGGAAAGGAATGATTTTATGTGCATGATATCGACCATTTTAAAAGTCTTTTGAGGACATCACAGGAAAAAAGTTAATGGGTCTGTTGTGAGATTTGCGAATTACGGAATATTTTCATAGTATAAGTAAAATGTGTGGTACTTGACTTTGTAGGTAAAAAGAACAACAGCCTTCTAAGGCTCTCTAAGTCTCTTCCTAAGAGGATGGTTTTCGTATATAGTGGAGGTAATAGGCTATGTCGTGAGTGTTTTCATCTTAGGTAATAATTTTGAACTGTTCAATGCTTTTGAAAGTCCATTATTGCTTCAAGTTTTAATGTGCTTTACACAACAGAAAATCTTTTTCGCTATGATGATTTAGAAAACTTGATAGTACCGAAGTCGATGCTTCAAGATTTGTCATGTCAACTTTGCAAAACCTTTTCTTCCGTGGTCGCTTTTCGATAATTGGGTTTTACTGAAGTTGGTCGATAGTTTAGGTTTGATGTTCTTAAAAATAAACGTCATAGGTATAGAAAATCTTCTACGGAGCATAGTTTTTTAACGAAGTCCATAAATACATAACATATAAGTATAACGAGGCGTTTTACCAACATTTTGTTTTAAAAATCCCCTTGGGTATTTTTGTTATTTTCATCCATGCGCACTACAGTTTACATATCGATATCGACTACTTACTTTCACGGAGGGCAAATAGAATTCCATCAATTATCGAGAGGAATTCGGTGGAGGGCGATAAGAGTGAGAAGGGAAAGCGACGTCTTTGTACTCGGCCCTGATGCGGCTATCAGGATGAATCTACCGGAATAATGACTTTAAAGACGGGCCCATGGGGGTGACGGCTCTTCAATGCAACTTAGAAGTTATGGGACTTTTCGCTCCCATTATAATTAAAACTTTACACAAAGAGGTAGCCCGTGCCTGGGCAGGCGTGAGTCCTAGACACATCCGCTCCGGGTAGGGATTACCGGATGATTAAGAGAGTGCATCACGCACACCCGCAGCAGCCCGTTTCTCACCACTAACCACGCCTTTCTTTCATTAACTGCCTTTCTTTTTCAATAAAACAAACTTTCTATTCAACGGGCAGTTTTAAATGTTGTTTTTGAAAACATTGTAATTTTCTTGGTTGAACAGTCTATCAACACGATTTTCCTACTGAGGCGAGTGAGCGAGTTTACCGTGAATTATGCTCCATCTAAGTTTTAAGTACCGAAACTTGGCGAATCTTTGACGGAGCTTTGAGCTCGACAGGCATATTTCAGAAGGATAAAGCGATTAACGCGGGAAAATTTAATTTATTTTGTTCTGCCTTGCCGAACAGTAATCTAGTTAATTGTAACTGATTTCTCGCAGGATGATAAAGTAATTATTAAAATCTAAAGAAAATCTTTAATGAATGAACGTCTTGTTTGACGCTGTAAAATTTACAATTAGCGTCCATCCTTTCCTTATGACTTGTTTTACCACTTCGATATGAAAAGGTTAAAAAGGAGGCAGCTCTTTTACGGCCGTTCCCATAGCGACCAATATTATTGGGCTGTTGTGCAATCTCCATTTTACCAGATCCCAAAAGTAAAGGGTTTCTGCGTGTGACAATCAGGAATCTCACCCTGCATTGACTTCCACCAACAGGTCTGCTGTTTTTTCTTCTTCTTTACAACACACTTGTTTCTACTGATTCGAAATTTATACTCCACCGGAGCAGAGATCTGTCAGAGGTCCTAATATCGTTGTAGTCCTTGCATTTCCTAGGTGTAGTTGTTATTCTATTGTTTCTTTGATTACATGGTTCATCTGGTCTTTATATTTCCACTCCCGATGGTAGGGATCTCAGCCTATATTTACTTCGCACGAACGTAGGACATGTTCTGCTTTTTCTCCTTCTTCCTGGCAATAACCCTTACTACGGTTCTAGCCTTAGTACGCCCTTGTTTGGTAGTTCTTCTATTGGTTCTTGATTAGCTTTTTATATTAGGTCTTGATTTTTCCACTCCCAAGAATAGGAATCACAGACTCCTGCATGGACTTTGTGCCAACAGAGGAGAATTTTCGCTGTTTGTTTTTCTTCCTGGCAATAACAAGCTTGTTTTTATTGATCCGAGTTTGTACATATGTCACCAGAGGAAGATCCGGTCAGCAGTGCCTTATTATCCTTCTTGTCTTAGCACGTTCTAGTTTACCAGTTCTCCTATTGATTTTTCGATTATCTTTTTCCACCAGGTCTTGATTTTTCCACTCCCAAGGTATAGGCCTCACAGCCTGCATGGACTTCGCACCAATAGAGGACATGTTCCGCTGTTTCTTCTTCTTCCTAATATCTGCACAGTCGAACCGGCACACGGGCACTACTGGGCCTGTCTTCACTTGCGGGTTTTTAGTTTCTGCGATGGTCCTTTGATAATTTTTTTCGCATGCCTCTGTCCTGAGCTAGAGTCCCATTGAGCGGAGGACTTATTCGTAATCCGTTGTCTAATGGATCCTCGTTTTTGGCAGTTTGGTAAGCCACAAAAGGGTTCAGGACCAATAGGGTTCATTCCTTGGCCAATTTATCTGCCTCTTCGTTGCTCCTTTGCCCAGTGCGCCCTACCACCCAGACAAGGGTAATTTCGTTATTTTCTCCAATGTCTGACAGAGCGCTAATGCAGACCCAAACGACTCTGGAGATTCTTAATTCTGAGAGATGGAAAGCCAGGGCTTGAAGGATACACATGGGCGCCGTTGAACAAGCTTTGGTGAAAAGCCTCAAACTTATCGAGGAGCTCTAGATGTATAAAAAAATGGGCACAATAGTCCAATGCTGGTCATTGTGTACAGGTCGTAAAAAGGCCGGCTACTATATAACCTGTAATCTATCTATAGGTTTAATCTCATTTCCTTGGTATGTCATTTATATTTAGCCGATTTTTTAATATAAAAACTGATATTTTTAAAAATCTAGCATTATCGCAAAGTAGTTTCCTTCGTCGTGTAATTACACCTTCTTAACGTTCCCTAGGACGGAAAAACCAACGAAAAATCCACTAAAAGGACAGTTAAGGAAATTAATTTTAACACAAATATGGAGATAAGAGGAAAGTAATTAAACGATGGCGGGAGGTTAGAAAACAATTTGAGGGCGCGTTACCCTGGCAACTCCCTAGCCACCTGATCGCAACCCCATTCACCTCATCCATTCACCTCGTCGAAACTGCCTAACTAATGGAATCGAACAATGCAGCCTTTTATAAACGTTGGAATACACAAGAGGATAATATTGGAACTTCGAGTCCTTTAAAGGAAAAGCCAAGGAAATTTTCCTTTGGAGACACCAGTGAAAATCATGGTATGGAAAGTATGTAGTCGCATTGATACTCGGTTGTTTACGAACTAAGAAAAAACTAAATAAAAGAAAAAGAAAGCAATAAAATTAACATCACAATGAAAAATCACGAGAAAATATTTTCCTGGTACATACTCCGTTAGATAAGGAAAAAATAGAGGCAGTTGTTTATTCATCAGCTGAACATTCCTAGCAGATGTTATTTTCAATTTCAAAACTTAATCATTTAAGGAATAGTACATAATAAGTAATTTTTAATGGATTTTTTTCTGTGGAAGACACCTTTTAAGACAAATTTTAAAGAAGAGATTAATGTTAAAAACACCAACTTGTGTCAGGATTTTTCGAGTGAGCTTTAGAAGATGTTCAAAACATTTATTTAGATTGAACAAGTTTTTTGATTTCTTTAATAAATCTTTTAGCTACAACGATTACGACTCCAGAATGTCTTTGGTGAATATCTCTTTGTGCTTGGGGGATGTGCAGCCAGTGAGGGAATGGAGCCTTTCGATCATAAAAGGCGCGTCCCATTCGGATTGGAGCTTCATAAATATTTCCAACCGGCTTCTTACTTTGTCCTCGGACTGCCTGAAGTCTGCGAACCTGTCCTCCTCGATGCAGAAAGCGCAGGGAGTCAAGGGTTTCTTCAGTTTCTTCAGCAGACGCCGTTCTTGGTTGACGATCCGTATGTGCCGCAGCCTCTCTCTTTTGTCTTTGGGTAATAGGTATTTCCGTTTTCCCTTTTTGTCCGTGATGAACACCTTTGGGAAGAGCTCCGGATGGTTGTATTTGTATTTGATGAGGCCGTCGGAGATCATTTCTTGTATCCTGTACAAACACTCGCCCACGAGGTCGACAGTCCGCCAATCGGCCGGGTTCACGAACAATTTCTTCAGCGGCGTACTCTCCACCATCTTCTGCACCGCGTCGTAAATGAACTTGTGATAGGCCAGGATGTAGTCGAGTTTCTTTTTACAAAAAAGGAACTCGTATTCGAGCTTTTTCGCCTCGATCTCCAACGTGACCAAGTCCAATTCCCGTTGAATCCGATGGTTCTTGTTCATTTCCAGAGAGTCCGCCACGGTGTAAGAAACTAGTTTAGCGAGGTAAAAGTTTTGTTCGCTTTCGTGGGCGTAGTGGATTAGAAGTTTCAAGAAGTTCTGATTGTCGCTCAAGCACTCTTGGATGTACTTCGATATCATGTCGAAATTATCTGAGCCTTGGAAAAACACGACTACTTCCATGATGTGCGGCTGGGTGTACCTCAAGTAACCTTTCATCTCGTTTTCATCGTCGGTATCTTCGCACTCGTCGTTGGCGCCGGATTTATCGTTAACTTCTTCTTGAATTACCCTCCTCTGGTTTTTAACGGTAAAAAGTTTGGCTCTGTTCTCGAATCGATAGTACAATCTGCTCAGGTCGCCCATTAAAGTCCTGGCCTTGTCCATTTCTGCGGTTCGGCGTTCTTTAACGGCAAAAAGAGTCTGCAACGCTTCCTCCCTTTGGCTGAAAGCGATCAAAGCCTGTTCGATCAAATCGATCATGTACCTCTTTCCTCGCTGCAAATGGTAAAGACATTTTTCCAGTTGTTCTCTCGTTATCACTCTCTCACTCAGCATGGAAGCGACGATTTTTCTGCTTTCTCCAGCAGCCGCGATCGCTTTATCCTTGAGCGTAGTAACGACCCAAAGCTTGTTTTCGTACCTCGGAATCGTCGATTCTACGTACTCACTCGTCATATAGCGATGTGGTCCTCCATTAGGCTTTCTGTTCCTCAGTATTATCGCCTTGTTCGCGTAGCACACTTGTCTTTTTCGTTCTTTCAGACCGTCTCTGGTGTTTTTCACCTCCTCTTTCAAACGCAGCCTCTCGTCGACTAAGGTTTTGATGAAATTGGCCGCCTTGCTGTCGATCTTTTTATATGTACTGGAGCCTATACGCATACCAGCCAAGCAGATGTTGTCGTGATCTTTGACCTTTATCATAAAATTATGCTTGTCGGTTTTTATCTGGGAATTGTACAGCTGCCAATATGGACGAGAATACGTCTTGACAATTCTGTACCTACGTCTGACTCTGCTCAGCTCTATCTGCTCCATCCTGGCTATCTCCGCCGGATCCCTAGAATCTGTCATACGAAGCCTCCTCTTGGGGTTGAGGAACTTTTTGACGGGGAAAGGTTCCGTCAACCTCTTGTAGTCGAGATATCTCACCATTTTTACAAGAATTACGTCAAAAAGCACAAGGAAAAGACAACAAATTTAGAAACCGAAATTTCTTAATAAAGCATATAATTAATTGTTAATTTTTATGAAAATTTTATTTATCATATGTTATTGTCTTTTTATTTTTTAATGCATGTTTTTCTTCTAAACTCATGTTATATATTATATATTTAAAAAAACATTATCTATGAAAAGAAAGGGAAAGAATTATGACATTAAAAAAAGAAGAGGATGACAATAGAAAAATGTTCAAATCAGTTACATATTTTGTTTATGTCATGGGTGGCATCGCGACATCTAGGTTATATGATTCAGAAAATACGATATTGCAGAAAAAATGAATAAGTAATAAATAAGGTACTTTGGACCTTCCCATCAAGATACAGGGTATATTAATAAATTTCAATCGTGTAAAATAACTCCATAGAGGTTTTATATAATCCGATTTCATTCCTCTTGTGCTTTGAAGCAATTGGTATTTATGTTGCGCCTTCACTGAACCTAATGGGTGGGTCCGTCTGTACTCGCCTGATTTTGATGTTACGCAAATGTTTTCGTTCAACTTCAGCCTAACCTGAAAGTTATAGAGAGAACTACGGTAATCATTAATTATCGGATGATTCTGGGTACTTAAGTTTAAATGAAATATTGGGGAAGAAAAATGTTAAAAACTTAAAGCTTAGATTAGTAATATTAGAAAAACTAAAGTATTGCAGTGAAGTTAGTTACGACATATAGTTATTATAACAATATTGTATACATATCTCTTTTAGCTATAAATTGTATTTAGGCGGTTCAGTCAATGATTCTGTTTTAGACTATTTCTGTGGCTTTATTCAAGAAAGGTGGTTGTTTTTCTAGCTGTACGTAAATAAACAGCTAAATAATTTAGTCTTGGAACACCCAATATGCATACATTCTTCGGAGTCAGGAATATGAAGACTTTTATCGTAACAAATTGTATTTTATGTTAACTATAAAAGAAAAAATTTTGTTGTTTTTTCTAATTTTTTTTTATTGGACAATATTTGCAACCAATGTGGCGTCACTGGCCGCAACGGTTTAGGCGTTGACACGACGCTCATCACTGTAAGGTAAAGGTTAGAATCCAGCGGCTTTGCATTCAAACACGACATTCTTATAAGCTTTTCTTTTTTTTTTTTTCAAAAATGCACCCCGACGTCCTATGCTGTTGCGAATCCTCGCAAAAAAAATTCAACCGTCAAACTGTTTTGTTTACTTTAATATCATCCGTTAATAAGGACGCTATTCTAGGACAAATAATATAGGACGCTATTTCAAATAGTGCTCCGTTATATCTGAGCTTGGACATTTCATTTAGCGTTACCGTTCATGTTAACGTTATACAAAATTTATCTAATGTGAAAACGACGCGAGGTATTAAACTCGAAAAAAATATGACGTATTAAATAAAATTATTCACTTTGGCATTCGACTGAATTTTCATAAGTTTTACATTAATATCTTGTCTTTTATTTTTCAACAATAACAACGACTCCAAAGTAGTTTTTTCTTCACAATTCAATCAAAAGTAGACAAAAACATGCTTTTACAAGATAGATGTGTTATTTTTAATATGACAGGTTCATTTTTATTTATTTGATGTATGAAATTGATAAAGGGTTATCCCATTTTAGCACGAATTCCAATTGGTCTATGGTTAGATTGACTGAAGAGATTGACATCGAAATCGCGTGGCATTTCTTGCTTCCTCCCTCGAAGAAAAGTACTGCAGTTAAAAATAAAAATATTGTACAGCAACAGTGTGCTTTTCATTGAATTGATTGAATTATTTTAAATTTAAAATTTCGCAAATGATGTGGTTTATTCTAAGAAAACTTGCTTATGTTAATTGTACACTATCCATAAAAAAAAACCCGACTACCTGGTTTTTGAATGAAAAAATGACCCAATTTGGAAATGCTTATTTTCTCAGCATTTTAAGTCACAGACTTGTGCTAGCTGTTATTTTGTAGACAAGTTTACGGTGAACAAGATGGCTTTGTTGAATGTTTTCCCACCATCGGTCATTCATCAGTAAATTCAAAAATTCGGGAATACGTTAATTTTTGAACGTTTTACAAAAACTTAAAATTGAGCTGTAGAGCCAGTAAATCGCCCGAGAGCGGCGCCCTATAGTAATAAGTATGAAATTTTAATAAGCCTATAAATGGTTACCTTCCTACCTGCCCGATTTCTTAACTTTTTAGATTTATTCGCAATTTTTGGGCAAAAACGTATTTTTTTACCAACCAATATAACATAGAAAAAATCGCTCATCTCTCTCCCGATTTTCAAGCGTGCATAAAATAAAACGTATTAAACGTATTAACGTGCATAAAGTCTGCAACTTTCTTTCCGAGGACTTTTTCAAAAAGTGAATATGGAAACCTTCCAACCGCGGTAGCCGAATGGTTAGCGTGGGTTAAAAAAAACACAATCGCTCATCTCTCTCCCGATCTTCAAGCGTGCATAAAGCCCTAAAGTCTGCAACTTTCTTTCCGAGGACTTTTTCAAAAAGTGAACATGGAAACCTACCTACCGCGGTAGCCGAGTGGTTAGGTGGGTTTAAAAAAAAAAGAAAAAAAGACAATTATCACGTTGACCTTTCGGGATGCTTCTGCTGTTTACCTCATCACGAAAATTCAACTTTTCCTTCTCATTTCACAAGTGTTGTTTGGTAGTTTGGCTTTGAATAACGTATTGAAAAGATAGGTATGTGTATGCTAAAATCGGGAGAGAGAGTGATCGGTTTTATACGAGAGTGATTTTTTTTTCAAAAGTCGCGAATGGACAAAAGTGGGAGGTGATCAATTGAAAGCTTAATAAAATTTCCTATTGACTGCTATAGGACGCGGCTCCAAAGATGATTTCCTGGCTCCACAGCTCAATTTGAAGTTTTCGTAAAAAGTGCAAAAATAAATATGTTATCGTATTTTTGAATTTACTGTTGAATGACTGAAGTTAGGAAAACATTTAAAAAAAGCATCTTGTTCAGCGTGAAAAGTTCTAAAAAATGAGACCTAGCGCAGGCTTGTGACTTAAAAGGCTGAGAAAATATGCATTTTCAAATTTGGCCATTTTTTCGTGCAAAAACCAGGAGGTCGGTTTTTTATGGGGAGTATATAAAAATTATGACGGTAGGAAGTTTTTTTTAATAAAAAAGCCGTAAATAAACTATAAAAGGACTTACGTTGACTTTTCGACTTACAAATTTTCAATGCACTCTGGCAATGATATTTTACAACCCCCTCAGAAAATGCCGGGACGGGAATGAGGAAAGATTCCCCCATTTCGATCCCCCTCTTGATATGACAAAAAAATCCCTTCAGTCCTCCGGGTAGGAGATTACCCTGATGGGCTGAGCCCATTTCCCCATCCCAATTCCTACAGGGAGGGCGTAGATGTCCGAGCATTTGTTGTGGCCAGTGGACCCTGATCTCGGAGAGTGAACATTCTCTTTTCTTTCGTGTTGAACCGGCTGTAATAGATGTTCACCACAAATCGCAGTAACAAGATCGTTCCTTGTTCATTAAGTAGGACAAAGCCATCTGAATTACACATTTACACAACAAAGAAAGAAAACCCGATGAAAATGGCAAGAATTTAATCGCGTAGGTAAGAACATTAACTTTCTAGGTGGTTCGATTTTATTTGAAGCAATCTTCCAAGCTTATTAATAAAAGATTTACTTTCAAATGAGAACATAAGATTATAGGGTAATAAAAGCTTGTGTTATGGCCTTATCAAGTCTGGAGAGAAAGTAAGCCAGAGAAGTAATGCCCCCTCTGGGAACTACCTGATCTATCATCCGAACTCTCAGAATTACACCCCCTGAATGCAAAATCCAGAATAAATCATTGTAATTTTTTTTCTTTCGAATGGCGTCTTTGTATTGGGTTGTCCGGAAAATAATGCAGGATTTTAAGTTTTCATTAAAAAAAATCTATATAAAATATTCTGTTTACGTTTACAGGATTACTCATTNTGGGAAATTATTTTGATTAAAGAACATTGCTTTAAAGTAACTAGTTTCTTTTTTTTTGTTTAATACCAAAATCCTGCATTATTTTCCGGACAACCCAATATATTTTGTACATACGGCCCATTTTGGGGGGGTCCGCGGTTCGTACAAATATTACCGAGAGGAAATTGGCAATGGAAAAGATTTACAGCCGAAGGAGTCCCTTGTTGTCACCTTCATTACTCCCTTTTCTCTTCTTTTTTTTTGTTCCATTTTTCACCCTTTCCTCTGACAAATAGCCGGTCACGTCTTCTACTAACAAATTCGGCACGATGTGCCGGTTTTCTACGATTTACCACCTCTTCGGCCAACTGGAATTATTTGCGATTTATTTCATAATACGAAAGTTTACGTTTTAAACACGTGACAACGTGTCTAAAATTTAAGCATACATCTTATCGTCACAAAATAAAAATCCACATGGAGCCAAATTTTCTTCTTTTTTCTGCAAAGATCATCTATAATCATCCTCCTCTGGTTGTTCCAGGAATGCTGAAATGATGGCAGAAACATTAAACAAACATGACAGACATTTTTGAACAATGTTTAAACCTAATAAATTGGTCTTTTATGACCGTTTTGTTATACCTATTTTAGAACGAACGGATAATTATAGACTGCGCTGAAAATTAAACCTTAAGAAACAAATAAACATGTAAGCTAAGTCATAAAGCACAAGGAAAATTAACTGTCAATCCAGTATCTGAAATGCAAAGCCAGGGTGCTACAAGTATCAATTCTTGGCCTCATATTATTAAACATCTATATTAATGATTGTGGATGGAAGTCACGATAGCTCAAGCGGTAGAGCAGCGGCATATTTAGCCGAAGGGCGAGGGTTCGAATCTCGCTCGTGACACTGACTTTTTTATCTCAACCAAAACCTTAATTAAAGATTAATTTCTTGAAAATAATTTATTTGGTCAATCGGACCAAGAAACCATGATAATGATGTCAACAATTTAAAGTTGCCAATTACATGTTTAAAATACCCAGACATGGCTTTTTTCAAATCTTCATTTAGAAACGGCACCATCACCAATTATTTACTGAAAGCCCTTAAAAATGCTTTAAATATTACAAAAAATGGAACATTAAACCAAAATTATTATTCAATAAATGTAGGTCCGAATTGTCATGTAACATACATGTCGATAAATTTTAAATGCAATGGAAAAGCTACGTAAAATATTCAGGGATGAAGTTGGCTCCAAGCTGACTTAAACCCACCAAATTAACCTTGTGACAAGACCATTGGAGTACTTCATAAGTGTTCCCTTTACTAAATAAAAATCGGGCTTGAATGTTAACTTAATATAACCAGAAAATTTCTGTTAAAAAAGTGTAGAGAGGTGTTATTTAAAAAATCGTTGACTTTTAAATGGTTATTACATTATTATTTTTATTTGGATGTTGTACATTGCCCTGAGGAAGGTCAAATATTGAGCCGTAAGCTTGGCAACTGTATAATACAGTGTATGGATTCAATGAAGGACCACATACCCAATAACATCCCAAACCAGATTATAATCGAAGTTGGTCGATAACTGAACCTCTTAAATGTTAATAAAAAAAAACAGAAAATTTTACGAAATCATGTGAGAGTAACCATCTTCAGCACATAAATCAGATTTTAATTATAATATTTGCTCACTCAATTATAAAAAATATAAACATAAGAGAATGAAGCGTATCTTACTATAATTTAATCTTTCAGTTAAAAGTTTTTGTTTTGTTTTTTCAATTTTTGCTCACAATAAGCAATATTGTAAATAATAGAGTGTGAGCCTGAATATAAGTATATATATATTGACAGAGAGAGAGAGAGAGAGAGAGAGAGAGAGAGAGAGAGAGAGAGAGAGAGCGAGAGAGAGTGCGAGTGAGGGAGAGAGAGGTCATTGGTTCCACAGAAATTGAGCCAAGCGAACTAAAAAATATACATATATATTTTTTTTTTTTTTCATATTATTTCAAATAAAATCAAGACTGTACGTTATTTCTTGCCCGCTTCGTTGTGAGGCCTTTGTTGGCGTTATTAAGTCCCTCCTGGGGTTACAATTGTCAATTCCACATTGTGTAGGAAATGAAACTCTCTCTACTATTCACTTCCTTTCTCATACTTCATTTATCAAACAATCGATTCTAAGACAACTACAATATTCTTTTCCATTCCCTAAAAATTTATAAGGCTAGTAAATATAGTATTTTTGAAAAGAGTTAAAAAAATCTCAACAGCTATACAAAATGTACTATCGACAAAAAAATAACAGTCAAAAATCAATGTAATGCCTGTCTTCTAAACCCCGAAACTCATTTGTCGGTAAATTCCCTTTTGTTTTGTTGATCAAATCAAAATACATAAAATTTCATTAATTCGTACAACAGAAACCCCTTTCATAATAATGTCCCTTCATAACCCTTCATGACAACCCCTCTCAAGACGTCTGAAACACCGGTGGACAGAAGTTCTGGATCGATAATGAACGTTCTTTTCATTAGGAACTCTCCATTTCCATTAAATGAACCTCGCCGGTGCAATTTAAAAAAAAATTAAATATTGCTTACTGGAAATAATTTATTTTGAACTACCATGCAATAACAGCATAAAAGTTGATCAAGTAATCCTACTTTAATGTGAATAACAGTAGATAGCTAAAATATAACAAACACGTCTAAGTGCTTTGATCTTTGAAATTTCGTTAAAAAACAATAAGATTACCTAGAAAGATATTTTCCACTATTTATAATGCTGTAAGTCTTGGTTTACGGTGTACAGCTATACAAATTTGAGTATTTCCCGAATATATGAAAACTGCAAGGTTTCTTTTCACGTACCAATTCTAGCAAGTAGAGAAATAAAATACAAATTACGACATTAAGCTGTAAAATGTATTGTTCGGGGTGTGTAATACAGAGTGTCCTTCATAGATGAATTTATCTTAACCAATGAAACCATAAAAAATACGTGTTTAATATGTTTTAGTCTAGTTTTAAGTATTTAACTTTTTTGGAGAAAAATTATACAGGGTACTTCAGGTCTAATTCAACTCAAGTACGACCCTCTATATCCAGACCCATCATTTTAAAGGATTTTTTACACTGAAAACAATGGTGCAATCGGATTTTAATCTATTGCATAAAGATGCAAAGATTTGCTCTTTTTAACCACTTTTCATCGGTGCTCAGATCGATATAGTGGCCAGGATGTGAAAAAGTGAATTTATACAATGCAAAAAAATATATTTTTTATATCCACTCAAAGTATTTCTAATGTCAGAATGTAAACCATAAAGTCAATTAATGTTTACTTTAGCGAAGAAGTAAATTATTTAAATTACAAACGAAATGCGTTTTTTCAAACTTTTTGCCATAACTTTGTCATTTTTTGACAAATTTAAAATCCGATTGCACTATCGAACCAACCATGTCAGGATGTATAGGGGATTGTTTGCATGGAATATATTTAGTTTTGCAATTCCACACCATCTTTGAGCCAATGATGTTTGAACTCAGTGCTTTGGTGGCTGCTTGGCTGTACGACATGATATATTCTCGTCAAACAAAAAACTTTTGTTCAGATGGATCTGGGTAAATCTCTCAACTGCATGACACTGGTGAATTTTCCCATGAGTTACAGTATATACCTAGACATTCATACTTTTCCTGAAACAATCCTTACCACCTATGCAGGTGATACCGTCATCATATGTTCTAATAAAGTTCGTATCATCTCAACGAGAAACCTGCAAACCCACGTCATTTCCCTTGAGCAGTGGTTCAAGCGGTGGAAGATGACAATAAATAAAGAAAAATGTGAACATGTCACTTTCACCCTTCAGGGAATAACTACTGCTCCTACCTATTAAAATAGTATCCCACCAGCTAATGTATGCTATTTTGGACTTTACATTGACAACCATCTTACGCGTCTCAATAGACAAGAGCTAAACGGACGATTCAGACTTCTTCTTGCTGGACAAACGATCAAAACTGACCTTAGAAAAGAAAAGATATGTAGCTATTTTGAGACCCATTTGGAAATAAGGCATCGAACTTTGAGGTTCAAAAAAACGTTCCAAACTCCAACGTATCCAATCCCTACAATCAAGATTCCTTCGAACCATCGTCACTGCTCCTTTTAATATAGCCACTCTTACCATTCACAATGATATTGTTATCCAATATGTCCTTGAAGTAGGAAAAAACCACCACGACAAGTTTCACAAACATTGTACAGTCACACAAACTCTCATGTCAGAAACCTTGCTTCACTGGCCTCTCTCGACTTCCTAAATGATGGTGAAAGTCACTACTAATGAATAGTTTCTTTTTTTCTGTTTTATGTATAATTTATGTGTTCATTTTGTTTTGTTTTACGCTCTATTATCAAATTTCAGCAAAGAATTGGCCCAGGTATAAATAAATATTAAAAAAATAAAAACTTCTAAAGGGACTCTACGACCCCAAATGAGAGGGAAAATATTCATAGGACTTGATCTGTACTTTTCAACTTCCAAAAGTAACTGGGCATGACCGAACCTCAGTGATGAAATCGTCATCACAAGATTGAAACAGCATGGGGTCCTTTCTGTAATATAATTTTTTAATACATACCAACTGGTTTGTTGTGTTACGTACGTTATAGAGTCTTATTACTTAAGTCATTAGTCCTTCTGACGCGAGGTCTTGTCAGTCAAAAGTTTCAATTGAGAATTAGCATTTCAGCATGCAAAAGAATTTAAAACGAAAACCTAAGTTGGACTTCAAATGGGACCCAAACACCTTCAATCGAGGAAAGTAGGCAGGTGGTCAAAAGGAACCATTCAATTCAAAATGCAAAGTATTTCATTTGTCGGACTGGTTTTTCCTAACAAACGGAAAGCGGGTTCGTACCGGGTGAAAGGACTTATTAGCAAGTTCGAACAGTGTGCGACACCCGCAGTAAACACATTCGAGAGGTAAATTAGATTCTAAAAGTAGACCATAGCCTAAAACGTGAAATCGGAATTCGCGCGAACTTCAGCGATAAGAGAAATCCGTCTGGATAAATTATAAGTTGTGTCATAACTAGAGGCTTTAGAGTTTGTAAGTTCATAATCGGTTTAAGTTTTTAAACGTGGAATCTGTTACGTTCGTGGCATTACTAATTAACTTTAATTAGCACGAAGCCACCTCCAGATATTTCATACGGTCCATTATTTCATAAATATTGACACGTATAACTTTTTTTATCAATATATAATTTTATTGGATCTTCACCATGTCTGGCCTATTGTTTAATGATAAAAGCATGTTTACGTTAACATATAATTTTTTAGCGCTGTCCCGATTAATTTAACACGATGCGTCTTTTACTGTATCGTAAATCATAAAGTGTGTCCCACTCCCCCTTGGCTCAACTTTAAATTGGATTTGTGCAATTTCAGGTCGGGGGAGGGTTGAACATGCGGTAGGGGTTGCATCCGCTCTGGAACAAATGCGGAGAGGGACGCTATCGCCGATAATATGTCGGTGCGAGGGGTCCCACGCCGGCGGAGTTATTTTTTAACAGTATGTCTTCTTGATAAAAACCGGAGTTAAAAATATAAAAGGTACACGCTGAAAACGAGTTGGGGAAATATTTTTCAATTTACCTTTTTCGATCGGAGTTGGGTGTATCAGCTGAAAAGCCGAATCGCCATCTAAAACAGAAACAAACTATATTAATTTATTATACAATTTCACAATAAAAGTAAAAAAGTGGTTATTTAATAATAGGTTTATTAAAAAAAATTAGCATGGCTTGTAGAGAATGGTTGCTCGATGTCTCTCATATTTGAAGTGTCATGCCTTGGCTCTTAATGGTGAGCGTGTAGGAATGCTTTCCTACATTCAAATCATACTGAAGAATAATAGTGGGTTTGAACAATAGATGTAGTTTCTCCTCAGGGTTATTCTGATCGACTACACAATCAGTTCACTAAAAGCAATGGCTTGTAGGAAAAGATTCAAAGATCCTTCCTCAATACACATTTCATGTCAATTATTGAAGTCAAGTTCTCAATAAATAAAAATAGAGAAAAATTAGTCGATCAGTCCCTTAAAATGGAAGAGTTTCATGGCTTGACTCTTCGTAGAGAGCGTGTATGCCAATTAACATGTATATCTTTTCTTGTCTATAGAATAAATAACAAATTTAAAAAAGGCGTATTTCATGTCTTGGTTCTTCATGTAGAGCATATAGGAATGCCAGGAAGAGTACTTGAGCAAAGCAGTTTCTAAGCTCCATATACTGATTTAATTAACAATGCCTTAATAATAAATATAATACATTCGTTTTATTATAATTTGTGCATTTTTTGGTTTATTTTTCACTGACAATATCACACCATTTGCACTATAAATGTTCCAATTTATTATCTTTTTAAAAAGATAGTTCCTACTCACAGTCAGTTGTATTCAACGATCCGGATTTCAAGCTTTCTTCTTCCCGAACAATACTTCATTTTTGCATAATAAATGTACACTATGCCTATGTAGTATTATGCCTACAAGCTACTTTTGTAACGGATTGTCTTACACTATAAATAATAAAATTAAAAGAAAATCAAACTTTCAAACCTTGGTTCTTCATGAAAAATGGTTACAACTTCATGTCTTGCGAGATGAGAACCGTTCTTCAACACAGCAGTTTATAAGCCCCATGAATAATTTGGACATTTTTGTCGTTTATTTTGCGCAAACAATATTTCACTTTTTTCACAATAAATGTATAAATTATTATGCCTACTGGCTACTTTTGTAACGGATCGTCTTATGCAATAGGTAATAAAATGAAAAAATCAAGATTTCAAATCTTGGTTCTCTATAGAGAGCGTGTAGGAAAGCCATGCGAGATGAGAAGCGTTCTTTAACATAGCAGTTTATAAGCCCCATGAATATTTTGAACATTTTTGTTGTTTATTTTGCACGAATAAGTGTATAAATTATTAAACCGATTAGCTACTTTTGTAACGTTTTGTCTTACACAATTAATAATAAATGTGTGTTTCTTAGTGACCTGTTCTTGTTCATAATTAATTGAAGTAGTGAGGAGTGGTCAACAATGAAGTAGTTTAGAAAAACTCCTTTTTCATTTTTTTAGCCGAAGTTTCGACCTTTACTCGGGTCATCTATAGGGGTGCAAAGTGTAGTGCATTCTTATTGTGTCATATTGGTTTTGTGTGAAAGGGATGTGAAAATAGGACATCACAATAACGGCACCACACTTTACGCCCTGAAGATGATCCGAATAAAGGTAGAAACGTCGGCAAAAATGTGAAAAAAATGTTTTTCTGAACTACTTCATTCTTCACCACTCCTCACTACTTCAACAAATTATATGTAATAAAATTTAATTAAATCAAAGTTTCAAATCTTGGTTCTTCATAGAAAACGCGTAGGAATGCCAGGCGAGTTGAGAATCGTTCTTCAGCACAGCAATTTATAAGCCTCACGGACTGATTTCGTTAATAATTCCTCGCTAGGATGAAAAATAATATTAGTGGCCAAAAGTACTTTTTATGTCAAATTACAGCCCTTGTCCGGAGATCATATTTGATTTTATCACTAGTAGATACCAACCTATCTTGAAATATCGTTCGTAATAAAACAGTAAAATTTTCCACCTCCTAGGTATTTGGAAACGAGACTTGGTAAATGAGAAAGCCAATTTATCTTTTGCTGCATCCCTCTTTCTTATGACCAGTGATTATCGTGGTTTTGATAAGCCCCTGGTAAAAATTTCGCCTAGTCTAGGCTTATAGTGGCCCAGAGAGAGAGAAATTGATGCAGAAAAGTCATGAACGTTTCTCAAGGAATAAGTACTATATAAAAAATATAAATAAAATATCCTCCAATCGATTATAAATTAATCTTTAAATAAATCAACGCCTTGGATTTGTCCGAGATTAAAAGTGTCAAGGGGGAAAGAAATGTTTATACAGGGTGTTCGGCCGTGGGACGCGGTCAATTCCTGAAGGGCCGTAATTTCTCTTAAGGGCGCCAAGGCGGTTAATAAGAAGCCGTAATTTGGCTCAGGTTGTTTCAGTCGGGAGCTACGGGGATGATCCCACCCTCTCGAGGATAAATTCCCTATTGATTGCTTTCCTTCTCCCCAAAGAGTGTTCAATCACTTCTACAGTTATCACCTCCCCCATTTCACGGCCGTTCCGCAAAGACTTTTACAATCCAATGTAAGGAAGGGATCGACTCAGGCACTTTTTTATTCACTGTCGTTGATGTTTTAATGCTAAGGGCTGATTCAGCAATTGTAACTGATTGTGGAATGTTTCCCACAAAGTGAATGAAAAATTTAAACTACAGCACAAAGTATATTTACAATAAGTAATTTGCTATTACTCGTAATAGATGTTAAGAAACAATAATTAACCGTAAAGGTAGACATTTGATTAGCTAAAGAGTTTAGCCGAGATTAGTTTTCTTTGTCAATTGTACGAGTGAGTGAGTGAGAAATAGAGAGATAAATAGATATAGAGAGGGAAGAGAGAACAGGTAGACAGAGTGAATAAGCATGTGCATGAGTAAATAAGTGAGAGAGTGAACATGTGAACAACTGACTGAGCGGAGTCACTAGTAGGGTAGGGTATACGGATAAAAGAGACGGCCTCAAAGCCTTCTGCACCTCGCCTGAAAAGACCTATTGTGCTTCCCTGTTTTTTGTAATTCACTGGCCAGCTTCAGGTTTTTAATCAGCCTTCATAGCTTTGCCAGTGACTCCTTAGTATAGGATCTTGCTTGCGGTTTTTCCTGTCCTAGTTGCAAGAGCCTGCACCTACATAGACCTTCACCAAAACATGAAATATGTTCTGCGGTCTCCTCCTCTTCATGGCAGTATCTGCATCGTGTTTCTTCTGTCTGTTACTCTTATCCAGTGAATGTGCTTTCTTAATGGGAATATCCTGTCAGGGCAGAAGGACACCTTCCTTGTGGGCCCAGGCAAATTCCTACATCAACCCTGGTGCCTGAGGGTAACCAATGATGGAGGCAAAATTCCCTATTACCTTCCCTATCCTTCCTTACCCCTTTCCTTTTCGCTCCCCCTCACCACACTCCTTTGGCAGAGGCTTCCTGGGTTATTGAACCCGCACCCCTCAGGCAACGGGTGCATCAGTGGGGGTTCGTATGGACTCGCGGGTGGGCGATCAGTCTCACCTTGAAAATAACACTGAACCACGGGAGTGGAGTGTCCAAGCGACTCTACTAATTGAGGTTGGACTCGTGGTGGTCTTGGTTTGTAAACAAATTGTACCTTAGCTGGTGGGTACCGGCCAACCGAAGCCGGAGATAGTGGCTTCTCTATTTTTCCGAGGGTAGTGAAAGGCACGGCTGAAAGGTAAGATATATGGATGTGCCGTTTTCATGGCACTAACGAACTTGGTTAGCATTGAACCACCTCAGTAGCCAAGGGATGTGACCAGTCCACGCATGTAAAATCTTCCTGATGTTCTCTTTGAGAACACTGGACGTCTGAGAAGCCCCTTCAGGAATACGTCCGGACGTTAAAGATCCTCATGGGTGTCAACACCCATGAGTAAAGTTGGGAGCATCTGTCCGGTCAAGAGTCCAACTAGAATTCTGGTTCGGTTGACGTTGCCTTTCAGTAAACCTTTTATAAGTTTTGCCGACAGTCCTCCTATGAATCTCTTCGCGTGCCTCATAACTGTGGTATTGTTCCACCAGGTTTTGGACTAATTAAGGATCCATTTTAAGATATATCACCTTTTGCGACAGGATGCTAATCCATAGTAGGGTTCAGGACCGGGAGAGCCCATGCTGGCCCTCCTTCTTTGGCCAACATGCCAGCTTTTCGTTGCCTCTATGCTCCATGTGCCCAGGGTCCCATGCCAGGATCAGGTCATTAGAGTCGCTGACTTCCGTCAGGGCCTTTGTGAAGTTCCAAACCCTATTTGCCTTCACCTCGCATGAGGCTAGAGCCCTTAAAGCTGCCTGATTGTAAGAGAAGATGGAACGTTTTCCTAGCCTTTTTATTTCTCTGTCGCAGTTCAATTGCTATGATTTCCGACTGGAAAACTCACATTTACCTAGGCTTACCGTCAGTTCGGTCTCTGGGTTCATCCCGAAATCTCCAGCTCCCGGGCCGAAGTCGGTATTGGAGCCGTCAGTATACAGCAGCTTCCCTTTAGCGGAATCCTATGAATCAGTCAGTAAGTGAGCTAGAAACTGAATCACTAAGGAAAGGAGTGAGTAAGTACATAAGTTAATGAGGAAAGGAGTGAGCAGGTAAGTCAGTGTGTGAGCTAATAATTAAGTAAAGAAGTGAGTGAATGAACAAGTAAGTGATCGACAAAGTTAACAAGTGAGCGAGTCTGAAAAGCCCAGTTCCTAAGTAAGTAACTGAGAAAGAACATGCAGATAGAGTGAACAAATAAATGAGTGTGTGAATGAGAATATCAGTGAGTGAACGGATAAGAAGTGAATGATCGAGTAAGTGAGATAGAATGAGTGGTAGAATGACTGAACTAGAAAGAGAAAGAGTGAGTAATTTGGTAAATTAATAAGTAAGCAATTGAAAAGGCAAGAAAAAAAGGAAACGAGTGTGTGAATGGAGTATCAAGTCAGCGAGAAAGTGAACCATTAAATAAGCAAGCATATGAGAGAGTAGATGTGTGAATGAAGGAGT